CTGTGGGCAGCCTGTTCAGACTCCCACACAGTTAAAAAAAAAAAAAAAGTTTTTCCTTAGATTCAAAGAGAACCTCTTATGTTTTAGTTTGTGCCCATTGCCTCTTGCCCTGACATTGAGCACTACTGTGAAGGGTCTGACTTCATCTTCATACTCTCCCTTCATGTATCTGTACATATTACCAAAATCCCCACTCAGTCTTCTCCAGGCTGAGCTCTGTCAGCCTTCTCTCATACGAGAGATGCTCCAGTCCCTTAATCATCTTTGTTGCTCTCCGCTGGACCCTCTCGAGAAGCTCCACGTCCCTCTTGTCCTGGGGAGCCCAGAACTGCCCCCAATGCTCCAGGTTTGGCCTCCCCAGAGCTGAGCAGAGGGGCAGGATCCGCTCCCTTTACCTGCTGCCAACATCTTCCTGATGCAGCCAGGAGCCCATTGGCCTTCYTGGCACATTGCTGATTCATGGTCATCAGAATCCCCAGATCCTTCTTTGCCCAGCTGCTCTCCAGCAGGTCACTCCCAGCCTGTCCTCGCACCTCAGGTTGATCCTCTGCAGACACAAGACCCAGCACTTGTCCTTGTTGAACTTCATAGGGTTCCTCTCTGCCCAACTCTCCATCCTGTCCAGGTCCCTCTGGATGGCAGCGCAGCCCTCCAGAGTGTTGGCCAGTTCTGAATCATATGCAGACTTTCTGAGGATGATTCTGTGCCTTCATCCAAGTGGCTGATGAATAAATTGAACAAGATTGGAACCACTATTGACCCCTAGGGGACACTGCTAGCTGCAGGCCTCCAACTTGGCACTATGGTTTACTCATGAGAATTAATTAGCCCTTTCCAGTATTCATGGTGCACTGGCTACTCTGCAGGGATGCAAGGTAGCTTGCTAACTGGCCTTGGAGACATGTGGCAGACATGTATTTGAGGAAGATRGGAGGCTTGTTTGCCACCCACCGTGAGTGTCACTTGCTCGAAAACTGGGGCAATGTGTAGTGCCATCTGGTACTTTCTGCAGGGTCTGTGCAGCTTTATGCTACACAATGAGGGAAACTGCTCTGAAATAATTTTACTAAACTTTCAAAGGCAGGTGCTGCCAAAATTTTTTCCCTCTTCTGTATGTTTTACGATATAATCTTGGGTTGCACAGCTCTTCTGCTAGAGCAAGCTGAGTGCAGGTGGGGGTTTTAGAGAATTGCAATCTCCAAAACCGCACTGGCAGTCTTGCAGCATATGCAGGCTGAAGATTCTTTCTCACATACATACGTTTCACAACTTGTACTGATTTGGGGACTACTTTTCCACAAATATGRTATGCCCATTTCTAATAAACTGTTTTTTTTTTCACAGGCTGAAAGTTCCTGCTGTAAAGTTCAGGGACACTACAGATGCACAAAGCAAATAAATGTGACTGAAACATATTTCTTTACTGAACTTGTTTTCAGAAATAACACCCGTTTTCACTGAAACAGCTTGAGAAAAATATCCTAGGTGGAGAATTTCAACCTGAAGAGTTAATAATTTTGAAAAAGATTAATTTGTCTGAATCCTGTCTTAAAATGGCAATTCTACAACTCTAATTCTAAACAGAATTGCCTTCTCCACTGGCATTACCATTATAGAATATGACGTCCATTTTCAGAGGCATTCATATTTTGCTAATATGTGTCTTCATACTATCTAGTTATTTTCATTTCCAGCTTGGCACTTTTGGGTTTTTCACTTACGACTCAAGCCACTTGAAGAACAATAGATTTGGTTTCCAAAGCCAAAGGGAAAGTTTGGTTTCACTCCCTTCGGGTTTTGCATACCAGTAGTAATAAAATAAAGTCCAACAGCAGCGCTTTGGTTGGCATGCTTTAGGATAGCAGTGCTGTTGTTTTGCATATGGTTTGCTTTAGCTTATTAGATACCTGAAATCAAGGAATTGCCAATCAAAATCAATTTGTGCTGAAATTTGGCCTGGCTTACCACACAGGGTTATGAAATCTCTGCAGGTTTTCGTAACTGGCACAAATTGTGAGGCTTTGATTAAGTTTGACTTTTAAAAATTGAAAGTTTTACTTTAATTTTTACAGGTTTTACATTTTTAGAGGCACTCTCCCTGTCTGTCTACAAACATGTTCGTGGAGTAAATAGCACTAGTGCACTGCCAGACTGAAAGGATGTGGTAGACAAAGTTTTGTAGTGCATGACCTGCATGAGTGCTATTGAATAATGTAAAAATGTTCTCTATGCCATCTATAGAGGGAACAATCATTTAATTTTTAGATGTCAGTGGGGTAGATGGCACTGTTGGCAGTTTTTGAAGCAGAATGAACTAACTTCAGRGATCTTAGTAAGCTGCAATAAGGGAGAAAAGTATGATTCAGTAGGGACAGAGTGGTATGCTGGGGTAGAAGAAAACCAGGAGCCTAAATGCTTGCTGGGGAGAGTATTAGTAAACAGCACGTGGCCTAGGGAGTGCATGGATCAAAACACTAGCTGGTTTAAAACGTATCAAATCATACAAGTTACCGCAGACTCTTAAGAAAAATAAAAATGCACCAACAACAGAAAACCAGTCACCACTCTGGGAGTTAGAAATAGAAGTGCTGCCTGCAAAACCTGTATGTAAGCACAATATATATTGTCTTTAGCATGGTAAAACTACTGCTGGAGTAGTGTGTCCAGTCTGGACTATACCTCAAGTAAAATGCGGACCAATTGGTGAGAATTCAGAGAAGAACAATGAGGATGGGCAGGAAAAAAATGTATTAAGAGGAAAGAATAGAAATTGTGTTTTGACCAGAAAAAAGAGACGGTGTCTCACTAAGATGAGTGGTCTGGAGAGCATCTATTTCAGTAAAAGATTGCTGTAGGGAGGAAGAGAAGAATCCCTTCCCACTGAAAACAGGACAAGAAATTGCTGCAGCATGGAGACAAGCATGAACAAGTRAAAGTGCTCACTACTGTAAAGAGAGTAGAACGGCCTGCCCCTGTGAAGTCTGCAGCACTCAGGGTCTCTAAGAAGAGATTAATAGAAAGTGTCATCCTATTTGTGAAGTTGCCTTTATTGGCCCATCTGTGCCCTTTGCTTTCTCTACAAGTACTGTGTGACTACAAAGACAGGGAGAATGCTGGCTCCAATGAAGTCACTGGCAAATCTCACATCCTCTCTCTTTTACCCTTAAATATTTACATTTGTAGTGCAGTGCAGTGATGCTGAAATTATATTACTTGATAATACAGCCTGTCTTTTTTTTTTTTATGGAAACCACTAGATTTTGCAATTTGTGGCTCATATTGAAATTACATKCTTTGAAGTGATGTTTGCCGTCTTTCCAAGCCACTTGCTACTAGTGACCTAGCAAAGAAATAAGAGAAGAACTTAAGGGTGCGAAGGACAGGGATTTTGATTTTCTAAGAGGAATTTATTGTGAGTAAGCCAGTTGCACAGAATAAAGTGTTGTAGCCACTTTTTTTTTTTTTTCTTTAATTGGTTGTGTTGTTAAATTTCATAACCATTTACTGGCTTTTATTTGACGTGCAGTCATTGAATGCAGAGCGGCATGGGAAGTTGCTGGTAATTAGCAGTGATATTTTCYGCTGTGGGGGCTTCATTTTCCACATGGAAAATTACAATTTTGAAGCCTGCTTTTTTAATCTAGGCTCCAATTTCCTAGTGCAGTGAAGATAAAACACCTGACTGCAGGAGGGATGCTCAAGGTGAGATTTAGGGAAGCAAGTCAGCCCCTGCAGGGTGACTCTTTGGAGCCTTTTTGAACAGCAGATGTATCCAAATTATCTGCTTTTGATTTGTAAATTTAGCTTRGCATATGGATATAGCCTCAGTAAGAACTTGTTTCTAACCAATCACAGTTGCCATCTGTTTCTAAAACCTGTTCAACTTCCTTTCTGTAAGAGGCTTATAAGCCTCACCAAKCAAAGCTGTTCTCTTTGTGTTGCACATCAGGTGCTTGTGCTGCTCTGTTCTCAAAGCTCCTGTTCTGGGCAGCATCTATCCCATCTCCTGCCCTCTCCTTCAAGCCCAGGCATGTGTGCATATGTGCTTTCAGACATATTCTCTGTCTATTTATGTGTGCTACCAAATTGCTTGGTAAAAATATCTCCATCTGTCTTAGAGGAAGTGAATGACACAGTCACTGTTTTGTTTACCAGAACTTCTGRAAATTTCCGTTGCTAGAGTAGGAAAATCCAGATGAAAGTTGGGAAGGAAATCTGGAAATATAGAATTCCCAATTATCTGTGGCCAGATAATCACTTTAACCACTTACATGAACTTCCTCAAATAAAAAGTTGCTCTATAGGTGTACTAGAGCTGTTTTCCTAACAGCTATACATAGGCTGTTATATAGGCTATACATATTTTATTTCCTAATAAAAGTTTCTCTCAAGTTACCCCTTACAAATTCTTTRGAATTTGTTCATGGAGCAGATACTGAAAGCCATGGCAATGACAGTGGGCATGCCAGCATTTGCAGCATATCTTCAACCTCTTTGCATGGTGGGATTTGATCATCTCCTTGCCTGTTTCTGAACAGTCAAAAAAGTTTGGAGCTGAATGGCACTGATGAACAGTGAGACAAAGTGGACCAAACACTCAGCTAGCACGCATCTACATCACTCTCTTGACATTAGGACAATTGGCAGTATCTGAAGTTTTCTCCTAAGGAACAAGTCTAAATAGATTTGTCTAAATAGAATTGCTAAAGCATTGGTCGGGATCTTTGCTTTCACATGGGTGATCACAGTGAAAAAGTCTCTTTTCAGCTGCAATTGGGCAGACCGTGGGCATCAGAAGTGTGAGTCAGTGTTTGGCCTTGTGTAACCACAGTCTCTGTTTGCAGATGGTTTATCTTTGTAAATAGTGGGTGGTCTTTCAAACACATTGAAGCTGCATAACCCAAATAAAGTTGAATAATGCAAGAAAGTAATGTTGAGAAGAGCCCAACTGCTAAGTGCTTGCCTGAAATATAGCATTTCATTTTGTCTTCCAGCAAATACTGCGGCATGCCCGGGGAAATGCCACAAAAGTCATATTTCTTATTACTGATGGATATTCCAACGGAGGAGATCCACGTCCCGTTGCAGCATCTTTGCGTGAATTTGGAGTGGAGATCTTCACCTTTGGGATATGGCAGGGGAACATCCGAGAACTTAATGACATGGCTTCCCATCCAAAAGAAGATCACTGTTACCTTCTTCACAGTTTTACTGAGTTCGAAGCTCTAGCACGTAGAGCTCTTCATGAAGGTATTGATGTAGTAATCTCAGAGGTCCCAGGGAGATCACAAGTCTGAACATAAAGATCTCCAATATTGTCTCTGTGTTACCTTTTATGTAGTGATGATTCCTTATATTTTTATTTTCACGTTCCAGCAGAGGCATTCATTCTTCAGGTGAATGGATAAACAGTTTGTGGCTACTCATACTCCCATAAAATGGGAGCTAATTTCTCCTCCTGGGTGTGTGCACACAAACATCCCCAAAATTCTTCATTTTGGCTGAGAAGGAACAGACTGATCTGTTGGTCCAGTATATCTTTTGTATGAATTTATGATACTGGCAGTGTTTCTCCAAAAGACAAGAGAGTTATCCAGTACAGGGCTTATGTCTTCTTTCTGYGCCTTTTCATGCTTAGGACCAAGAGTTGGCCTATTCAGAATTCTTTCATATCTCTCAGTAAAGTCAAATAGGATTTCTTTTTGGTCTCATATATTCAGTAAGACTGGAAATAACAGAGAAAGTACAAAGAGTTTAGACTTTTTTTTTCRTTTTTTACTTACTTTATCCTAAAAAAAAGCCTCTGAAAGCAGAAGAGGTTTAGACTAGCRTGTGAGAAACAGCCAGAGAGGTGAGAACAGATGGTCTCATGGCTAATGGCTTCATTTGTAAGCCACTGCTACTTGAATGAGACTTCTGCAAGCAACAGACCAGCCATTAATATTATATCCTTTATTTCATTTTAAAGCACTGTTTTTTACAAAAGTAGTGTGTTTTACTGCCACCAGATGAAGGATATTGGGGATCTTTGTGCTATGGGTTCTGGTAAATATTCTTCCAGAATAAGAATGCTGAGCTTTTTTTCACTTCATGTGAAGCAAGGTTCTACTTCATTGTAGAATCTTGTAGCTACCATTGTAGAACATTGTAGCTACCATTGCTATTCCTCAGGTCTAAACACAAGTTTTTAAGACGCATTTCACTAATGAAGAGTTGTGAAGCTAGGGGGTGGATTTTTGCTTCAATTTTTTGTTGTTAACTGATATATTTCAGACCTGCCCTCTGGCAGTTACATCCAAGAAGATATATCCTATTGTTCGTATCTCTGTGAGGCAAATGAAAACTGCTGCGATGTCATGGCAAGCTGTAAATGTGGAACTCACACTGGCCAGTTTGAGTGCATCTGTGAAAAGGGGTACTATGGGAAAGGACTACAGCACGAATGCACAGGTGAGTCACTCATCTCCATGCCAGAGTTTCTGTAGCAAATCCAGRTGAGGGATATCAGGTCTATTTGGATTTAGGGCTATAAGTCTGGATCGGAATGCATTTGGAACTCTGGAAATATTCTCACTGTCTAAAGACGTGGAACAACCATCAGTCTGACCGAGTAACTAGACTCCAACAACAACCAGAGGAAGAGTATGGAAAACAGAAAAAAATAGGGCAAATGTTCTTATATATATACCTCTATCTATCTATCTATCTATCTATCTATCTATCTATCTATCTATCTATAACACTTTGCTAAAATGCTACTTAACAACAATTTGTGACTCAGAATTTCTGATTCCATGATGATGACTTTTGTGTTTAAGAGCTCTTAGTAATTTTTTCCTTCATGAATTTTGCTGATTATTTTTTGAACTTGCATAATCCTTTTGTTAACAAGGTTTTGTTAAACCTTGCATAAATGGAAGGAATAAGGAATTGTCTATGTGTAGCTAACTTTCACCAAACCCTTGGTGAAAGTTGCAGTCAATATTCTTCTATTGTCCCATGTTGACTAAAGAGAAAGGAGGTATTTGAGTCACTAAATAGAAACTTGTCATCACTTTTGGCTTCAAGGAGTTATTATTTGAAGCCTACAGTCAAAATGACCATAGTGACAGTTCTCTATTTTATGTCAGAATAAAAAGACAGAAGAAAAGATTATGGCTTTCTGAGTTCCCTACAAAGTTATTTTGTAAGTGAAGATGAAAAAAAAGAAGTGTCTGTAAGCTACAGTTTATTTCTTTAATTCATAAATAGACAGAATTTACCTGAGGAAGTGAAAAGGGAAGTTGAGGCATTGATCCCMGTGGAATTGTCTTTCAGCTCTGGATGATATGGGATGCCTATGTTTAATGAAAACATAAATTGATGAATAAATAGCAGTTTTAAATATGGAAGTTCTTTTTACATGCAGTTATGAATTAAGTTGAAAGTTCTAGATCAGTCAAGACAATCTGAGGAAATACTTGCTCAATAGTAAGTGAAGGGAAACTGTGTGAAAAAGATATATCAGTTTGGTTCAACTGTATTAACTTTTATGAGACAAAAATGTGAGAATTGTGTTCTCTGTTATATTTGGTTTATGAGCTGGATAAGAGAAAGTTATCATCAAGCATCTTTCTCAAGATGCAAAATGTATTATTCTTGTGATCTTATTTCTCTCATCACATTCTTAGTTATATTCCATGAAAAAAATCACAGTTCTCACCTACTTCCATGGGAAATGTTAGCTAACTGTGATGGGTATATGTTTAAGCATTGTATAGCCGTTTATATTGCTTTTTCAGATGTGGCTTTCATTGTGTATAGAGGTCTCTTGATACTCTACTTAGGCGTAGGTATGTGAAGTGAATAAAAGCTAAGAAAGCCTTCAGGAAAAGGTTTTTTATCATGGACTGTGATGGCTGGCTGTATGTATGCACTAGTAGGGCAGAGTGAGGTCTCCAGATTATACCTGAATATAAGATGAGGGAGAAGTGTTAACTAAGACAAATGCCTAAAAGTACTGAGATACTGCAGTGCTTGAGAAAATGACCTTTCTTTTTTTTTTGTACTCCTTGTTGTGTTCTTGGAACTCATCTTACCCTTTAGAGCATCTTTCCCTTCATTGAAAGAGAAGCAGGTAAGTATAAAGGAATTTGGGGGGTTTGCAGTGATGGATCTGTACCAGGATGCAGTAGAGTCAGTGTCAGCACTGGAATATTGAATCAAATTCTTAATTTATATCAGTGGATGCAGCTTACTTGCTTGCTCAGTTAACTTTAAATAAGATATACTATTCTGTTTTCCTGTTTTATTTTGTTCAACCTGTTCATCAATGACCTGGATGAGGGCACAGAGTCACCCTGAGCAAGTCTGCAGATGATCCCAAGCTGGGTGGAGTGGCCGACACTCCGGAGGGCTGTGCTGCCATCCAGAGGGACCTGGACAGGCGGGAGAGTTGGGCAGAGAGGAACCTCATGAGGTTCAACAAGGACAAGTGCAGGGTCCTGCCCCAGGGCAGGAATAACCCCAGGCACCAGCACAGATTAGGGGTCGACCTGCTGGAGAGCAGCTCYRCAGAGAGGGACCTGGGAGTCCTGGTGGACACCAAGTTAGCCGTGGGGCAGCAGTGCCCTTGTGGCCAAGAAGGCCAATGGGCTCCTGGCTGCATGAGGAGGATGTTGGCAGCAGGGGGAGGGAGGGGATCCTGCCGCTCTGCTCAGCTCTGGGGAGGCCAAACCTGGAGCACTGGGGGCAGCTCTGGGCTCCCCAGGACAAGAGGGACATGGAGCTTCTCGAGAGGGTCCAGYGGAGAGCAACAAAGATGATTAAGGGACTGGAACATCTCTAGTATGAGGAGAGACTGAGTGAGCTGGGCCTGTTTAGCTTGGAGAAGAGAAGGTTGAGAGGGGATCTGATCAACATATGAGGAGAATGCAGGGAGGAAGGGGCCAACCTCTTCTCTGTAGTGGCCAGTGACAGGACAAGGGGCAATGGGTACAAGCTGAGACAGAGGCAATTCCATCTCCTTGTGAGGAGGAACTTCTTTCTGTGAGGGTGCCCGAGCCCTGGCACAGGCTGCCCAGGGAGGCTGTGGAGTCTCCTTCTCTGGAGATCTTCCCAACCTGCCTGGATGCCGCCCTGTGCCCTGTGCTCTGGGTGTCCCTGCTGGAGCGGGGGTTGGACTAGATAATCTCTAGAGGTCCCTTCCAACTTTAAGCATTCTGTGATTCTGTGATTTTCAGATGCTATTCCAATTCATTTTAAATGAAATTAATCTTAATTCGTCTTTTTTTTTCGTTTCTCTTGAGTTGTAGTCCATTTCCTCCCCTTCAGCATAAACACCTCAATAGCCTATTGAATCAAATCATGTCAGGACTTSTATCTTTGTATGTGTTTTTCTCAGCTTCAAAGAAATTTTGTTTTGATAATATCAGCTGGTACATGTAAAATAAGTCTTTTAAAGTGTTTTGTGTTAGATACAATGGAAATCTGCTTTGTATGGGAAGATATCAAAAGATTCATACATATCTTTTAGGGAGAATTTGACCTGAATAGTGCAAGCCTGTTCTTGTAAACATGTCTTCTCTACACAGTGCTGCAGCCATCCTTAAAACATACAAAAACAAAAGACAGCATGTATTTTTAAAGGGCAAATAACATATTTTGAAATCTTCTGTTTTGAAAGGATTCCTATTTAAAAAAAAAAAAGTATTTCCCAGCTGAGCATAACTGTGGATTTGAAGAGCATGAGGAATCTGCAGAATGCATTGCAGCTTTTCTTCACTTCATAATGTGAGGATTTCCCACAAGTTTACATTGACAAGACTTATATTTTACTATGATTAACTGGACTGCTTTGAATGGTTAAGCTTGCAGATACCATACTACTCCATGTTTATTTAATRCAGTAAGGCTTGTTTTTAAGAGTTTTTATCAAGATAGAAGATTGTTCCTTTCTGTAAATAATTTGTTCTTTGTGTAATGGTTATATTCCCTGTACCTTTGTGGTTATGTGTTATACCACTTCGCTGTTGTTTATGGTTTTAAATTTGAGGCACCAAAATAACTCTTTAAAAATCATAACAACAGTACTTTTCTGTCCTAATTACCTGAAAACACCCTCTAGAAAGCTTCCATAAAATAAAATAGGAGCCACATGCTTTGTTTGGAGGACATGAAATTGGCTCTCAGTGTCCCCTCCTGTTCTCTCTGATGTTGATGATGTGCCGTGGGAAGAAGAACAGACTGACTGTTCTCTGCTTCAAAATAACAGAACAGAAGACCACACAAGGAACCTCATGCAGGCAGAGACTTCCTTGACAGTTGTGACAAAGGCAAAGTATGGAGCAGTGTGAATTACAGATAGGAAGAGAAAGAAGGGAAGTAGCAGGATCACAACAAGTCCCAAGTGTTTTAGAGCACATAATTATCTTCTTTTTCAACAGAGCCTWACTTCCTTTTCTCCTTCCTTTCCTTGACTACTTTTGTTAGGTTTCAAACCACAGACAACAAACAAAAATACAGAATTAACAAAAGAAATTTGRAATCTAAGGTGATGGCCTCTGTTTCATCAATGCAGTGGACCATTAGAAGTCAAATGGATATATGATGCCCCTCATGTCTACCATCTCATCAGTTACCCCCTAAGCGCTTTGAGAAGGCCTGGTCCTATTGTCTTACAAACAGTATTTTCTCATACTTTAAGCATGGGACCCATTTTCTGCAGCATGAGATATCTATAAAGCTAATGGGTAATTGGCAGGGCAAAACTAGTAAATAACATATTTAGAGCCTATGCTGTTTTTCACTCTTTTATTTTCTTTGATTTATTTTTCATCGTCTGCTGGTGTATAATTTTAGAAGTGCAGAATTTTATCATATGTATGCGTATTCAAGGGGCTGCTTAGGCTTTGCATTTTTTACGGGGATGAAGCATATCAATTGTCACCTACATGGGCATGAGGCCAAAAGTTTTGCCTGCAAAATAACACATTGATTAGGCTTGTAGAGAGTCTTTCCACTAAAATCTGAAATCATGTGAAACCTTGATACTATATATATATATATTTTAACTCTTAAAAGACAAAAAAAGTTTGAGGAAATATAGGTCTAGTAGAGGATGTCTGCACTACATATTTTGTGGCTGTTCAAATTTTGAATCTAATTTTCAAATAAGCTTTTTTTACCATGATAATTTCAGGATTCTTCCAGCAGAGAGTGCAGTGCAAAGCAACACCTGATGATCATAAGTTGTAAATTAAAAAAAAATGAGGAAAGGAAAGGAAAGGAAAGGAAAGGAAAGGAAAGGAAAGGAAAGGAAAGGAAAGGAAAGGAAAGGAAAGGAAAGGAAAGGAAAGGAAAGGAA